TAAAATGTGTTATATTTCATTGTAATTTGTCATATTACATTAATATATATATATATTTGTGCAGACGAAAATAATTATTTTGGTTTATAATAATTAATTTATAAAAATATAATTTAATTTTTTATATTTTTTATAAATTATTTATAATAAATGGAATTGGATTCAATTGTAAATCCTACAAACCAAACACATCAAATATTTAAAATCCTTCCAGATTCAAATCCTTCCACAAAATCCAACGGGACATTTCGTTTGATGAAATGACTTTGGAGGATTTGAAATTGGAAGGATTTGGATTTGGAATGATTTTGAATATTTGGTGTGTTTGGTTTGTAGGATTTGTAATAGACTTAGATTTCATTTATTATAAATAATTTATAAAAACAAATTATAAATAATTATAAAAATAATTAATTTGTCGTTTTATTAATTGATTATTATAAAACAAATGTTTTCAACATATTGTAAAACATTATTATACACATATCATATGAAATCCCGTGAAATATCAACTTACCAAGCACCCTCGAGGGATTCCAAAATCCTATGTTTGTAGGATTTCAATGAAATCCCGGAATTTCAAATCCAATTTTTTTTTTAAACCAAACATGAATTGAAACGGAAATCAATTTCAAATCCCTTTAAATCCGATCCTACAAACCAAACGGTACCTAAATCTCTCGAAACTAACAAACCAAGCGGGACCTTATTCTATTTCTATTCTATGGATTTGTAATACTTGTACGATGGTTCATTTATTTTTTTAAACTATATTTCTGGTCGAACATTATTTATTTTGAAAAAGATGGAACGTCAAAATATTGATGACATTAATTTTGGTAGGGGTGTTTACATTTCGACAAAAATAAAAATAAATTGGTTAAAAATCGAAGCAATGTGACTAGTCTAGCTGTATTGATCATCGTATTTATGAAAGGCCTAACTGGAAAACCTGGAATCGAGAAACTAAGTTCGGCCGGTGGATGTAGTATCAAACCAGTCATTCATAAAAGGCCTAACTGGAAAACCTGTAATCGAGAAACCAGGTTTGGCCGGTGGATGTAGTATCAAACCAATCATTCATAAAAGGCCTAACTGGAAAACCTGGAATCGAGAAACTATGTTCGGCTACCAGTCATTTCATTTCGACCAACTATATGCAATCAAAGAAATGAAATTATGTGAGACCATTCAGTTTTCATGAGACTTATAAGATCACATTGGATGAGTTTCTTTATCTCACGAAAACTTCACGGCAAAAAACATCGAACCTTCACAGTAAAAGACACCAAAAATTAAATAAAACATTAAACCTTCACATGACTCAAACTTCACATTTAAAAAAAAAAACATTCACATAAAAAACAAACCGTTATATGATAAACAACATGAACCTTTACAAGAAAAGCACACGAAACATTTACATCAAGCACACACCGAACCTTCACGATAGTCTCAAAGATGTTACAAAAAGCGGTTGGTCTTACCTAAATCCATCCTTATTATTCCATGTTATTTATAAGCATACACATACATATAGGTGGATGTTCAAACGAGAACATCTCCATTTTACGAAAACACTAAAACACTCTTATTACATATGATAATATACAGAAGGGGGCATGTGGTGTGCCCTGGCTCACAACTTAAGGTCGCCCCATGTCTGTGTTCTCGCCTTTTAATAAAAATGTAGGTATTCTCGTTTGAACTCTTCAACACACACATTATTAGGGGATGTTTACCAAACACTTAACTGGTAAGAGCTTACCGGTAAAATTAAATACTATTATTTATTTACCGGGTAAGATTTTAGTCCCAAAACGACATTGTATGCAACAATGTACCCGTTAAGCGCTTACCATGGTAAGAGTCGTCGCCCTCACTTACCGGGTAAGACTATTGGTCATTTTCTCGCTTTTACTGGGTAAGATTCTTGGTGTTTACCATATTCATGCAGTAAAGTAATATTACTTGGTAAACGCTTACCCAGGTAAGCGTTTGGTAAACGACCGTAAGTTCTTAAAAAATAAGTATTTTATTTTTTAAATTTAACATATGTATTGTCACACTTTTTATTCCTCGTCATTCTAATATTTTTAATTATTCATCATTTTAATTTGAATTTCATGTATACATGTGGTTTTTTTCAACCATGAGTGTTCAGAACAGCTTGTGCGTACTTTAACTAATTAATCTCAGGAGCCCATAAGAATAATCAAGAAAATCTCAATAGTCCGATAGGACTCGAATCGATAACATATAAGAAGAATCTCCGATAACACGTTATTTTTGTGTGGTTGTGTGAGAAAGCGAGATTCATCAGTATGGCAATTGGTAGACAGGTTATTTTTGGTAAGGTGATATGGATTGGAACGTTAACATCATCATCTTTTTTCCATCTGTTTCTAATTCAAAATGGTAAAAATTACGTTTAAATTTACATGGCTCTTTTTAGTTATTTTGCTTTTAAAATATGAACGACTTACGTTCTATGTACGTATCTAAATGAACCATAAAATTGGTCAGTCAAATACTACTGTAAGTGATTTGACTGGTCTAACAAGTTTAGCTGATTTGTTAGGTTTTGTTAAATCTAACTTTCAGATTCGACCAAGATTCTACCGTATATTCAAACAAGGGAGTGAACATTCCTAGATTGTGGTAAAACCAGTCTCCTAATTTATGTTACATTGAAATACTTTATACTGATAAATAGTCAGATTTCGGTGACACCAATTATTTTTCACGAGACCCGTAGGATATATGAATGTTCGGTATGTGTTTCTTGTGAAGGTTCGCCATGTTTTTAATTTGAATCTTTACCTTTTTTATATGAATGTTCGAGTTTGTTTATGTGAAACATTCAATGTTATTTTTTGCTCTGCAGATCCCACATTTGGTCGTAAAAGTTCAACGGTATCAACCCATTGAAAAGTTCAAGACATATATATAGACTTGGGATCACGTGGACCAGTTTGTTTTCGTGAGACCCATTAGACCACGTTTTTACACTTGAAACTTCACAGCAAAATGCTATGAAGGTAACCTTCACAGTGTTTTTGCTGTGAAGGTAACCTTCACAATGTTTTTGCTGTGAAGGTTCGACTTTTTTAAACCTTCACAGTGTTTTTGCTGTGAAGTTTCAAGTGTAAAAATATGGTTTCACGGGTCTCACGAAAACAGGCTGGTCTCACGTGAACCCAACCCTATATATATATATATATATATATATATAGAGAGAGAGAGAGAGAGAGAGAGAGAGAGAGTTGGGTTCACGTGAGACCAAAAGTTTTTCGTGAGACCAAGGGTTTTTCGTAAGACCGTACAACCAAATTAGCTAAACTTGTTAGACTATTATTTATGAGTAGAAGACAAAATCATAGGAAAAATAATAAAACTAACCACTTTATACAACCCTCTTACACAAAATAACCAGTTTTTAATGGTTTTACAAAACTAACCACACGGATCTCCCCCCGGGGGTGATCCGTAATAGTGGGGGGCGATCTGGCCTTTTTCTTAGAATTTTTTAATTTTTTTTTTCCATTTGGGGAGAGCCACGTCATCGGATCGCCCCCGGGGGTGATCCAGGTTTTTTTTTTTTTTTAATACCAATTTCACTATAAATATCAACCTCTTGTTTCATAAATTTTCATACTTTCCCTTTCATTTCTCTTCTCATATATTATACTCTCACAACCCTTAACCCATTAAACACAATAAACCATCACAAAACATGAAATCACGTCAAAGTGATGATGTTTGTGTGTATTTTCAAAGTGGCGGTACATTTATATATAGAGATGCATTACGTAAAAAAAAGCGATATAAACGGTACAAAAATTGAAACTTCGTATTTTATACGTATATATACGTACGGGTTTTAACACGTACGCATATTTACGTATATTCATGTACGTTTTACGTATGTATTTTTAACGTATATATGTGTACGGGTTTTAACCCATACGCATATTTACGTATCTTCACGTACGTTTTACGTACGTATTTTATACGTATATATGTGTACGGGTTAAAACTCTTACGCATATTTACGTATCTTCACGTATGTATGTACGTATATATGTGTACGTATGTATATACATATATATATATATATACCTACTTACATTTACTTAAAAAAACGATATAAATTGTTGTAACGTATATATATATATATATATATAGAGAGAGAGAGAGAGAGAGAGAGAGAAGGAGATGCATTACGTAAAAAAAACGATATAAACAGTACACAAATTGAAAATTCGTATTTTAACGTATATATGCGTACGAGTTTTAACACGTACACATATTTACGTATATTCACGTATGTTTTACGTACGTATTTTTAACGTATATATGCGTACGGGCTTTAACCACCACTTCGAAGATACATACAAACATCATCCTTTGACGTGATTTCATGTTTTATGATGGTTGATTGTGTTTAATGAGTTAAAGGTTGTGAGAGTAGAACATATGAGAAGAGAAATGAAAGGGAATGTATGAAAAATTATGAAATAGAAGGTTGATATTTATAGTGAAATTGATATTAAAAAAAGAAAAAAAATTAAAAAAAAAAAGCCTGGATCGCCCCCGGGGGCGATCCGATGACGTGGCTCGGCCCATGTGGAAAAAAAGAAATTTTAAAATTTTTTTTTCTAAGAAAAAGGCCGGATCGCCCCTGGGGGAGATCCGTATGATTAGTTTTGTAAAACCCATAAAAACTGATTATTTTGTGTAAAAGAGTTATATAAAATGATTATTTTCGTCATTTTCCCCAAAATCAAATGATGGAATTTGCAAATAGTAAGCTTGGAAAGCAAATACAGAGAAAATGGAGGTATCTTTGAAAATATCTATTATAATGGAATTTGTTCTTCTCTCCTCTCCACCAGATATACAAGAAATCATAGCATAGCACCACCACCACCAGCTACATCCATCGATCTGCTTCCGGAGTAGGTTTCTTTGCTACAGGAATTCTCTGTGCTTTTGAAATGGGGAGAGGAAGGGTGACGTTGAAGAGGATCGAGAATAAAATCAATCGGCAGGTGACATTCTCCAAACGGAGGTCAGGATTGTTGAAGAAAGCTCATGAAATCTCTGTCCTCTGTGATGCCGATGTCGCACTCATCATCTTCTCCACCAAAGGAAAACTCTGCGAGTTTGCTACTGATGCCTCGTACGACTCTCTCTCTCTCTCTCTCTCTGATTTCTTATAACTCGTTGCTATTTCCCCCAAATTTTTGTGTATTTCTGAAGCTTCAGGTAATTTTTGATGTTTGATCAACACAGTATTTGCTGGATTGTTTTTTCAAAATTTTATACCACTTCGAATATTTATGACTGTTGCTATAAAATTTCATCTAATTCTTCAGAAAATATCCAAAATTGCAGTGTAGAAGGTAAATCCCTATTTGTTTGAACAGATCTGTGCTGGTTACATTCAAATCATATTAGATCAAAGAAGTAATATTAACGATTTTTGTTATTATTTGATGCTTGTATTTTGTTACCGACTCTTTGCACACGACGAAGCTTTTTCTAAATATGGAAACTAACCAAATTCATGCAAACTACAATCTTATGCATCTCCCCCTGCAATTATGTAACTATATGTTTGATCAATACACACAGGAATGTTTCTGGTAAATTTTTTTTTTCTTGTTTCCTTTTTTCTGGGTGTATGTGGGGTATGGTTCTCATCATCCTTAAGACTAAAGATGGAATTTTAGGGTTTACGATTTTGGAGTAAGTTTGCTGCTAGGATGAGGACCATGATCAGGAAAGCAACCAATGAAACAACGAAAACACATATACTAGGTCAAGTCCACTAGGTACTTCATCATTATTGCTTCTCTCTCTCTCTCTCTTCTTTTTTTAACATTTCTCCAATCAAAGCAATAAGAGGAAAAAAATTGGGTCATGCTTTTCTGGCTCAGATATCTGCCAGAAATAATTTGTTTCGTATATATATAATCTATAGTATCTTATAAAATATTTAGATAAAATTTTTAAAAACTCTTAAACCCGTTCATCTTTATTCGATTTTATTCCATATTTGAATTCGTGTAACTAACTGTAAATAAACACAATCAAATACAGGATAAACATCTCATTTTAAATATAAAAAATCTAAAATATAATTAATATAATCATTGAGTTCTAATAGAATACTTAATTATTATCTTTATAAAATTTATAATATTAAATCAAAAATAAATTATTTTATTATTAAACTTAAATTAAATTATATATATTAAAAATAATCTATACTATATTATAAAGCATTTGACAAGAACTATTAAAAACTACTTTTTATGCGTAAAGTACTGTTTATTAATGCATATTACTTAAAACTCAAGATTACAAGTAAATTGTGCGTAGATTAAATTATAAAAGAAATAATCAATACTATATTATAAAACATTTGACAAAAACTCTTAAAAACTACTTTTTATGCGTAAAATACTGTTTATTAATGCATATTACTTAAAACTCAAGATTACAAGTAGATTGTACGTAAGTACAACTTATTAAAGCTCCATATCTGAATTCATGTAACTAATTGCAGATAAAAATAATCAAATACAATTAGGATAATCATTGAGTTCTAACAGAATACTTAATTATTATCTTTATAAAATGTTATATTATTAAACCAAAAATAAATTATTTCATTATTAAATT